TAGCGACAATCCTCAGGTGAGTCTTCCATACCCAAACTACACTGATTCAGTTCAGTTGGACATTCCAAGTTGACCATTAGTTAACCCACCATCTATACCATCCAAATATATAACAATTGATGAACAATTTGCATCATTTCATGGTTGTTGAAGGCTTCAGCAATACATGCCAAATAAACCTTCCAAATACAGTATAAAAATATATGACCTGCTAGATGTGAAGACATTTTACACCTTGAGCTTAGAAATTTATTCTAGAACTGAGCCACTAGGTCTTTATTTTTGCAGTAATAAACTATATAATGTTGTGAACAGACTTGTTGCACTATTTCAAAAAGTAACCAAAATGTCACATTCGACAATTGGTTCACTAGTTAACCATTAATGCTACACTTGCTCAAAGGACACCAGGTGACCAGCACAGGAACTGTTTACAAGAGTAAAGCAGATATTCCCAAATAAATGTTGCAAGATCACAATAGAGAAATGTATAGTACAATCTTTGAATTTCAGAAAGATATAACATTGGCCTCCTCTATGGTGAAGAAAAGCAAAGTGATATTGATTCTGTCAGTGTTACACCATGATGCTAAGATTGATAGTGAAGCCAGGCATGGTGATACATACCTGGAGGCTTAGGCAGTAGAACCTGTGAGTTCAAGGTCAACTGGTGCTACATAGTAAGTTCAAGGCTAGCCTGGACAACATAGTGAGATTCTGTCTCAAAAACCAAACCAAACCAAACCAGAAAAAAAAAAAGATTGATAGTGAATCTTCAACACAAATGGAGTCAGAAATGGTCACATTTTACAAGAAAACAAAAGGTGATGCTGACAAGTTATGCAGCAACTATGCTGTCACTCGAAATATAAAATGTTAGCCAATAATTATGTTTTACTGGATCCTAAACATGTCAAGCATAAATAGTTGTATAGTTTACAAAGAAAATAACAAGCACAAAATATCACAGAAAAATTTTCTTAGAAGATTGGGACTGGAATTGATAAATGATAATTACAACAGAGGAAGAACAGTATGTATCTGCCCAAAGAACTCTGCAGAAGAATTCTGGAGCAGACCAGTGAACAGACAGGCAAACCATCACAAGAACCTCCTAAAAAAAGCAGGAAGACCAGAAAGATGTCAAGTATGTCCTACCAAAGAAGACAGGAAAACAAAACTTGTGCTATCAGTGTAAGCAATGCTTGTGTATGGAACATGCTTTTTTCATGTGTGAAGAATTGAAGTAAAGATTATTTTTGTGGTAGTGTTTTATTTTTATTGTCATTGTTGTTCACATAGGATACTATTTATTTGTTACTTTTTAGAACTTGGAAGCGAATAAACAATTGATAAAAATGATGGTGTTTATTCTAAACACTCATTGCATATTAAAAATTTAATGCAATTTAATTTTATTTTCCTATTAAGTACACATTGTATAATATAATAAAATTAAAATAAATCATTCATCAATAGAAATACTCCTAAAAAATAAATGTGAGTTTTATATACCCACTTAGCACTCCATTTTTAGGAAACAACATGGCACCCCACATTTATTCCTAAGTATTTTTTGTAACTAATATGAATGAGATTTTTCTTCTTGAAAATTATGTTATTAGCATAGAGAGACACTACTGAGGTTTGGTAATTCATATTTAATTCCTTGGTAATTTCATATTTAATTCCTTCACATATCTAAGAAACTACTGATCAATAGAGTTAAACCTAAAATAATCACTTTTTTTCCATCAAGTAAAAATCTTAGATTTTGGCCGGGAATTTAGCTCAGTGGTTTCGCCACCTGCTGCGCCAAGCGCAAGGACCTGAGTTCGATCCCCGGTACCAAAAAAAAAAAAAAAAAAAAATCTTAGATTTTTGTGGGGAGGGGCTCATCATGGAATATTTCCTTTGGCTGTCCTCTATGTTCTGAGTCCTACCATCACTTCACAGTCCCATTTTCATTTTCTGGCCAAGTGCAAAAATAAATTCTCTTGACTTGTTCCTATTTATAACAATTTATTTTAAGTCCAGACTTAGTGTGATTTTTCTTCCTTTTATTTTCTGTTGGATATCTTAGTTTGAATGTATCATGAGCTTCTAGTTTTGATTCTGATTTTTTTTCCTTACTCTGTGTTTTCTGAAGTTTTAAATCTTTTTTAGTTTTTTGACATGAAATTTTTGAGTATTGTTGATTTTTCAAAATCTCAACAATTGTTGAATCTACCTTGGTTGAGTACAGTATTGTGTGTTTTTTATTATTGTTTCAAATAAAGCAGTTTTTTTTCAGAACTGTTCAACATCTTCTTACCTTATTTGATGCTATTGAATCTTCATCAGAATTTAGAAAACAAGTCATAAAATGACACTTTAGCATTGTAGAGTAGAATTGTAGATGTTGTATTCTTTCATAGATATGTCTGACTCATATACATTTTCAGTTGACTGGATATTTGCTAACATGGCCAATTTAAATTATATGCAATTTAATTCTTGTAAATCTCATTTTTTTTCTTTTGCAAATGGTTAATATGCATTAAAATGAAAGTATGAATTCTTATATAATATAATTTACATTTGTAGTGTTTAGGTGTTAAACTGTTACCATATAGTTTATGGATGTTTGTTGCCAAATAAGTGTATCAGTTTGCAAAACTTTCTATCATAATCCATTCATGTTGGAAAGGCAAAGCACATTTTGTTGCGTCAGTTTACATAGAAAATTTTCCAATATAATTGGTAGGCCAGATGATCCAAACCTTTGGTCATGAACCCTACTTAAAGAGAGGGATACTTTAAGTCATATAATGAGGAAGGGGGGAGAAATTTTATTTTTCAAAAGTATTGCTGTATTGTTACCTTTATAGCTGAGTTACTCTCCTCCCCAAAATTTATGTAAAACAGTTTATCAACCACTTACCTCTCTTTCATCCTGATTGTTTTCATTTGGAATACTTGACTTTCTAAGGCTTTAGCAAATTTCTTTGGTCCCAAATAAATCATTTAATTTTTTTATGTGTGTATCTTTCCTGCTTTAGTCCATTGGAAGTCTTTCTGGAACTTCTTTGACTTCTGTGATGTATTAGGTTTACTCTGAACTACCTTCTGGTTAATTTTGCTGAAGTCACTTGTGTACCCCTACTTGAACTTGCATGACTGGGTGGGGAGTGCCTGGATGGTCATTGCATTAAGGTTGATGTAGAGATGTGGAGTCATCTTGCTCAAGTCCTTAGTTTGTTTACTGGCTCCTCAGAGAGGCTCCCTTGCTGCTGCTGAAAAGACAAAAATTCCCAGAGTCTGGGGCCAGTTCCACATCAAAGGGTATTTCAAGCAAAAGTTAAATGAGCAAATGAAAATAAAATGAAACTGAATTCATTTTAAAAATTAGTTTCAGAGAAGATATGTATCATCAGTCTCTAGCATGATTTACCAAGAAACTGAGCCTGGATTAGAGAAAGTTAAAACTCTTAGGGGTGCCAAGACAGGACCAGAATGAAGCATAAAGCACCTAAGATTTCTATAAATAGGAGGCAGGAAACCTTTAAAATAGGAAGTAAAATAGGTATTATTCCTTTCTCAAAGACTCCATTGAGGAATGTTTTTCTGTTTCAGTAATGCCACATGCCTTCATGCTCTAGGCAGTCTTCTCCATTCTCTTGTATTTTCTCTTATTTTTTTTTAAATTCTAGAGCCACCTGATTTACCTTTTCATTATGTAAAGTACTGTTACTCAATGCTTAATAATAACTTCTATTCCTAAGCATCCACTATGTTTCAGGCACAGTTCTTAGTATTTTCACATGATTTCATCTTGATCATATTATCAGTATGATTATCCATATTTAATAGATGAAGCAGTGTATAGTCACTTTCTCAAGGTTCTATAGCTGATATAGTGCAACATGATTTGAACACAGGCTTTTCTTCTCAGGTTTGTGAATTTTTCACTTCCCTTTAATTTATTTTATGTCCTTTCTATGAACTTTCCACTCTCAGACTTATTCCTACTTAGAAGCCTAGTCTCTTTATCACTTCACTGTTCAAAAATTTAGAAACACTGAATTATTTCCTTGGTTGTAAATTCAGCATTCAGAACTCTTCACAGGTCTGCTCCATCTTTTCTTCTGCCACACTGTCTTGCTTCCAACTGGCAGTACTTCATGGAATTTTCTTTTCCTTCCTGCATTGCTGCACAGTTGAAATACTCACTGTCTTTCATACCTTCATAGCTTTTCTTTTGATTTAGTTACCTTCCCCATTCTTATTCCATGTTTCTCCTCTCCCCAGAATTCTTTTTCAAACCTTTGTCCTAACAAAACTGTCCATTCTTAGCAAGAGGCCTTGTACATTCAGCCCTTACACATTCAGTGTATATTGCATCTTTATGTGTATTGCATCATTATGCTTCTTTGAGTTCTTGCAGTTTTATATTCTTATAACTTTTTACACTTTCTTCAGATTTTCTGCCCTTTTTCTATTCAAAGCACTTATAAAAAATGGTACAATTTTTGAGCATTTAAGCAGTGCTTACTAAGTTTTCTTCTATTTGAGGTGTATAGCTTAAGCTGATGAAACTGACAGTGTGGTCATGTGTAATTTTAATCAGATTTTTGTCAAGAAAAGACAATGACAATGATTACTTTAAAAAGTTGGTATATTTACAAAATTACATTCTGTTTTTTTATGAAACAAAGCAAACTCTTATCCCCAAATAGGTAGGCTATAATTCATTTCTAAAACTGCTGTATTTGCATGTCCAGAGACTTCTGTCTGTGAAGAAATTTTTAATGTTTAGATGTTGAAGGGTATCATATATCCCTGGGATATAATCATTTCCCTAAGCCACCCATTTTTTAGAACTCATTATTGATATTACTTACATGGCAAGTAAAAAGTTGTATAACTCGAAGCAGCCCTTGGTATCTCTTAGAGATAAGAGTTTGAGAGTGATTCTTGAAACTGTGCTAGTCAGTTTCAATTCTGTGTTTTCTTTTCAGGTTTCCTGAAATGCAGTTTTTCCAACAAGAAAATGTGAGAAAAATTCTTACAGATGTTCTTTTCTGTTATGCTAGAGAAAACGAGCAGTTACTTTATAAACAGGTAATGAAAATATCTTACAGGTGGCATCCGTTGGTTTAAGTTTTTCTATACAGCTTGACAAATGATCAGCAATAATGCAACCTTTATTATATCTAGAGTTGTATCATAATGCTAAAGCAATCCGAGTGCTGCTTGTCAGCTGTATAGTTAGAAAAGTAAGCTCACCGAAGCACATATGCCTCTTCCTCATTTTAAGATGTTCCACCAAATTGTCTTCTGTATCGTATCTTTTTTCACCTTTTGGGAATTGTTTTATAAATAGCATCTTTGAAGCCAGTCTAGTAATAAACTTTTCAGACTTGTATATATAAATATTGTTTCTAAGTACAGCATTTATAAATATGTGACATGTCATGTAAAAAATAATCAAGTACTCTTTAATACTTACTAGTAATAGAACTTCAGAAGTTTCATTTTTTTTTTTTTTCAGTGGGTGGCCTGGGCATGGTAGCACAAAACTAATCCCAGCTATCCAAGAGGACCCTAAGTTCAAAGCTAGCCTAAGTTCAAAGCTAGCCTAAATTTAGCAAAACTTTTTGAAAAAACAAAATTAAAGACGTCTAGGGATTATAGCTCAGAAGTAGAACACTCCTGAATTCCATCCCCACTCCCACAAGATAAATTTTTTAAAAAGAAGTTATCTTATATATTTTGAAAATTATTTTTTGGTTCTGTTATTTGATTTATCTTACTACCAAAGCAAAGAAGCTTATTGGATTGTTTGGGGGTTTTGAAATGTAAATTGATTAGTATATGTTGTAGTCAGCAGGATTTGGCAAGGGAATAAATTAAATACAGGACACATAATTTACAAGATTATTTTATGATAATTACCCAAAGAGTCAAATCGGAAGGAATGCAAGAGAGATTAACTGCACACTAGGGGCCCAAGGAATCCAGCTGAGGGCCTGGATCCCAGAAATTTCCTACACAAGTCCAGCTAAAGGCTTTAGGGTCCAAGGCAGTATCCTCCACGAGTCCAGCCAGTGGCCTAGAGCCCACGGCAATGTCTCATGCTTGTCTGTATTGAGGATCTTCACCTGGGGGCCCAAAGGCCATCGGTGGAAGCCAGAAAACCTACGCTAGTGGGATAAAGGATTTGTCCCACCAAGCCAAGAGATCCACATTGGAGCCAGGAAGTGACTCACAGTGAAGATCAGAGCTCCCCTGACTGAAAACAGCAGCCATTCCCAGAGACAGCAAGGCCCCAAGCCCCAATTTCCTCCTCCAAGGAGAACAGCCTCATTCGCATCAGGAAAACCATCCGAAGCAAGCTTCTCCTGGAAAATCAACAGGCCAAGATCTTCCCCTCCAATTCTCTCTCTTTTTTTGCGGGGGGGGGGGGGTATGGAGACTGAACTCACGTCCTTGAGCTTGTGCAGCAGGCAGTGAACCCACTGAGCTAAATCCCTGGCCCTCTAGTTCTCTTTTTATGGGTATTTACAACAATCTTCAGGTGGATCTTCCTCACCCAAACCAGGCTGATTCAGTTCAGCTGGGTGATACAAGTTGAACGTTAATCAGTCTACCACAGTATATAAGGATGTATCTAGGTTTTCTATTAAAGTTTATTGTGTTCCAATGAAGAGATACATACTTGAATCATTTCTATTTCCCAATTATGTATTAAATGGAAACAAAATTCATAAATCCCAAAGAATCAAAAGTTGTATCTTATTGTTAACCATTGAACTTTAATGTAACAAATCACCTGTGGAAAAAGTTATATATTTAATTTGAAATAAGCTTTATAGATTAAAAAATGGTAAACCAAGTCAGACTACAATTATACTAAATAATATATTTATATTATGTATATATATATTTGTTATTACATAAAATAAACACAGAAAATAATTTTATCTTTTTAAATACTAGTAACTGTCAACTGCATGTTGACAGTAGCTCTTTAAAATTGGAAATGGGAAAAAAACTCACTAATAATGAAAAAGTATAAAATGTCTATAGATAAACTTGAATGTAGACATATAAAAGCTATCTGAAGAACACTATAAATGTTGTCAAAGGATATAAAGCAAGAATTGAATACAAAAATAATAACATGGTTTTAGCTCAGAGGATTTTACCAATATTGCTTCTCTCCAAATTAATATAGAAATGTATTAATCTAGTATTAATCTAAATGTGTTTTTTGAAGATTGGACACGCTTATTTTAAATTTAGTGCCTACTAAATATTAAAATTATTTTTTTCCTGCTGAAACATTTGTCATTTCCTTGTGAATTCTTTCACTTACCATAGTGACCCTCAAATTTTTCTGTTTTTTTGGCTGAATAATATTCCATTTTCTATACATACCACATTTTCTTTATTCATCTGTTGACGGACAGTTAGGTTGTTTCTATTTCTTAGTTATTGTGAATATATAACAATGAACATGGGATTGCTGATGTCTCTGCAACATATTGAGTTCATTTCCTTTGGATATATAACCAGAACTAGGATTGCTGAATTATATGATAGATCTATCTGTAATTTTGGGAGGATTTCCCATATAGTTTTCCATAATGCTTTAGTACTTTATAGTCCCACCAATTCCCTTTCTCCACATCCTCCCCAAAATTTCTGTAAAACTTCTATAAAAGGTCAGTGATGGGGGTGGTAGAGAGGTTTGTTTTTTTTTTCTTTGTTCTGTTTTTTTTAGGATGCATGCTTAGCATGCACCATGTCCTGGGAGCAATCTCCATCACCAGGAAAAAAAACAAGTAAAAGAAATTTCTGAGATCAAAATAATGCAATAGTATAAGAATTGACCTGTGGTTCAGTGGAAAAATTTAGGAACAGCTCCAGTTATATATAGAATCCTAATAATACAGGGAAAAGAACTTTTACTTACTAAGATTGATTTTCTAACTAGGAAAAAGAATAAATTATACATTATTGAATAATATCAGATGGACTAATGATATAATTGTGAAAACTAAAAGTATATAAAAATAGTAGAAAAAGATTTAGGAAAACATTTGTGTAATCTTGGGGTAAAAAAAATGCCCTTGCATAAAAAATAGGCTACTGAAAGTCATACACAAATCAGAAGACCAAAAACAAATGAAAAAGGAGATTGCGGGAGAAAATCTCTAAATAATAGAAGGCATGGTTCTAAATGGTTTAAACTATAAAGGTGTTAATAACCCATGTAGCATGAAGTCTGGAGTTAAATGGTTCTGCATCATTAGTTACTTTAGTAGCTCAGAATATTCATCATTGTATTGGCTATTGTTCTTATGTCTATCTCCTACTTTCAAATATTTGAAAATTCCTCACAGGAAAAGATATGTAATGATAGTGAGTTAAATCAAGATTAAATTTCCCAAGTTAAGCATTGTTTCCTATTTTTCTTTAAAGAAAAACATAAATCAAGAAAGTCTTACAATAAGAGAAACAAGTTCTATGGACAAGGAAAACAATAACATCACACTGTGCCATTTGTGGTGTATATAAACCATTTTTATATTAAAAGATTAGGCAAGAATATGGAAGATCCAATTGTTAATAATTTAGACAAACCCTATCAATTACTGAATAAGAAAGTGTTATTAGCTTAATACTGAATTTCACTTAAAAAGACCTAATTACTCCCTGTTATGTTTAAAATCCTATAGATTCTTTACAAAGAAATAATACCTTGCTGTAGAGGACTGAATATTTAGCCAGATTAAATTTGAGAAAAAACCTTGAGTTTCATCACAAGCTGTTAAAGCTATTATTTTGTACTAGGTGACACCCCGTTTAACATCGACCATATTGTTAATAGTTATGGGGTTTTATTGAATTAATGAGACTGTTATCATGTAGTAGAATGTCTTGCTGAGTTAATTGAAACTGCAGAGATTATATAAATGGTATTAATGAACTTTGACTGCCTGATGCCTCAGCTTTAATAAAGACTGCTTGGTGGGCTAAATGAGCACAGGCAGATAAAAGAACAGGTTCAATTTTGTGAGCCTACAGGCTGTTGATACCTTTTTTTTCAACTGGCATGAGTTTGGAGTGCAGTGACTACTAACGAGCTAGCAGGGATGAAGAATTTCAGCAAGCAGAAATGCTAAGAATATAGATTTATATACATTTATATTTATAAAATATACATTTTGTGAACCAAGAAGTATACTGAAATATATATATATTTGTGTCTTGTCAAATTTATATCCTGTTGAATTTATGAATATATTTTCTGGATTTATCTCTTGTCTTTTAAAGATATCTATATACTTGCTACTTGTAATTTTTTGTTTTTTCCAGTGCTAAGTATCTAAGTCAGGCTAGTCCACACAGGCTAGGTAGTTATTGTACCACTACACAGGCTATGCAAGTATTGTGCCACTCAACTATATTCCCAGTTCATTGCAGTTAATCTTTAATCAGGTTTTACTAGTCTAGAATTGCGAGCAAAAACAATCTAAGGTCTCTTTCAGTCTCTTAAAAGTATCAATAAAGTTCTCGTTTAGGTGAAACTCAAAACTGAATTTGTCTTAACAGTGCTCATTGGATTCTTAATTTTTTTCTACAGAAACATCCTCTATTAATTTGAAATATATTGTTCTTTTTTCATATTTTATTTCAACTTTTTTAGTATGAAATATATTAGGTGGTAGGTATTTCATTGAATCAGTCAAGTGTAATGAAATCCTTTATGCTGGGCCTATAGTAAAATTTTGGTTCATGTGTACATTTGTCCCTTAGGAACAATTGCAGGATCCCCCTGTGTATATCAAAATATGTGGTTGCTCAATTTCTTTGTATAAAATGACATATTGTTTACATATAATATATATATGTATATATACATTCTCTGTATACTTTATTTTTTTTAAATTAGGTATACAACATAATGCCATTCATCATTGGAAAATTGCACCTTTATGTAATCTCTCTTGGTTTTTATTTTTTCCCCTTCTCATGTATACTTTAAATCATCTCTACGTTGCTTATAGTACCTAATACAATATAAATACTATGCAAATAGTTGTTAAGCTGTTTTATTTAGAGAATAATGACAAGGAAGACCACATGTTTTGTATATACTTTTCAGTTACTTTTCTAATATTATTTATTTATTTATTTATTTTTTGGTACCAGGGATCGAACTCAGGTCCTTGTGCTTGCAAGGCAGGCAGCAGAACCACTGAGCTAAATCCCAGGCCCACTTTTCTAATATTATTGATCCATGGTTGAATTCACCAAAGCAAAACCCATGGGGACAGAGAGTATATACACATCTTTGTACATACATACATACATACATGCATACATACGCTACTTATGGTTTATAATTGTATAATAATTTCTGTGCTCATTTTATCATTGTATATCTTCCTCTCTAGACTGCAGGCTCCATCAAAGTTTGGAACCACCCCATCTTATTCATTTTTTGTATCCATAGCGTATGTAGGTACTCAGTAATAATTGCAATAAATGAATAACAAGTGATGCTTGAATAGATGGAACGTCTAGAGAGTGTAGTGTTGCAGAAACTAGAGAGAAGACATTTAAAGAAGGCAGAAAGATGCACTTAAATAAGAACTATTTCTTATTAAAGCAGCCATAAAACAAAGGAAGAAAGACCAATTCAGAAGATTACCACCACCAAGAAAGAAAGAATACCTAGTAATAAACCTGTAAGCTAACAAACTGAGTAACAAGAACTATGCAGTTTAACAGATTTTTAGATTCAAAAATCCAGTGTTCTTTTTTGTTTGTTTGGTTTGGTTTTGATTTTTTTGAAACAGCATCTCACTATGGTAGTCCAAGCAGACCTTGAACTCACCTATGTAGCCCAGGGTAGCCTCTCCTAACCTGTGAAGTACTGGGACTGTAGTGTGTTTCACCACACCCAGCATCATTGTTCTTAAAAATATCTATAAATGGTGACCAAAAAATATAATCTATGTTTATTTGCTACAATATGGTATTTTATGTTTAAAGGGGAAGAAAAATTAAATTTATAAGGCTATTTACAGTAGTATAAGAACTTATGTCCCCACAAAACGAGTAAATAACAGATTTTTGAAATAATTTTTAAAGATATCTTAGTAACTAACATTTGTACCTTTTTGTTTCAGTGCCTAATTGTGTAATATACATTTGAACCCCAATATAAGGAAAAACATTTTATTGATATGCTCATTAAATAAATTGAAAGTTAACCTGTAATTGAAGGAGGCAAGGAAAAATGAGTTTTCTGATTAAGCACGTTGAAAATTCCAGTTGAAAAACTTTGTTTTCTGTCATTGTCTGCTAAAGATTATTTCTTTTATTATCCAGCATTCCCAGCTACATGACTTTAGCTCTTCCTAAATCTACAGACATCCTAATTTGGAGCCATTACATAATGAAAACATTGGATGTAATTTCCTGAGGTCTGCAGTTCTTAGTTGCCCTTCTTCAGTGCAGTTCTTTACACTGTAGCACATGATTATAATTTGCATAAATGAAATTCATATTTATGAGTACAGATCTTGAGCAACTGACAGGTGCAAGGTTGTCTGCCATGCCAGTTTATTATTTGTCATGTCATTTAAAAAAGAGCTTCTCTTCATGTTTTAAAGAATACATGCTGTGGTTGAATTGAAATCAAATTCTAAAACATACCATGTTTATGCTTTTGTGTATACTACAAACATCTTGGTGGCAGAAATCCATTGAAAAAAAACATTTAGGTTAATATATTGTCCATTAGTGGATTCCCAATATCTTTCTCATTCATTTCTCTTGATCTTGTGTTTCAGGGAATGCATGAGTTGTTAGCACCTATAGTCTTTATCCTTCACTGTGACCACCAAGCTTTTCTGCATGCCAGTGAGTCTGCACAGCCCAGGCAAGTTTTTGTGAGATTCATCTATCTTTTTCAGCCCTCAACGTACTGCTCTTTTTTTTTCTTTCAACCTCAAAAATTTTTAAATTGAAGGTGTTTCTATGTTTCATAAGTTGTGAACAGTTGATTTTGTTTTGTGTGACTCTTTGTTAATTCCACTCAATACTTCTAATGCTAATTTAGCTGTAGGGCAAATTTGAAATCATATCTTTGAAATTCTTAGGTCTGTGCCAAAGAAAGAAAGACATAATAATAGGTCAAGAAAAGGAAATGTTTATAGTAATGACAAAAGTGCTAATGATTAACTATTTATATATAGTATACTATCCTTTAGTATCTCACTTTTCACTATAAGCTGAATTAAGAACTTTATGAGATTCTTTCTCCTCATCAGCTTTGATTCAGTTTAGTTCATCAATAAAGGAACAGTGTTACAAAGGACCTCAGTCTATAAATAAAATGGTTTCTCATGTTTTTGAAATAAATTTAGTTATGCTTTCCTGCAAATGACTTTTATAATTGTACTTAACTTAGGTAATTGTTGGAATTCATTTTCTAACTAAGAAGAAACCTTATCTAATTGGCCAGAGAAGTAACATTTTTGGGTGTGGAGAACTGTAGGATTGTAAGGCATTGTCTGTGTTCAGTGTTCCATGGGCTCACCCACCTATATGCAGAAAATAATGCCAGATAGCATCACACATGTCTAACTATGTAATCTTTTTAATATTACAGTGCCTTTTTGCTAAGCATATATAGTCTTAAATTTTTCTCATTTTATTGACTTTATTGGATCCTGACAAGAGTAACTGCTTTTTTTTTTTTTTGGTACTGGGGATTGAACTAGGACCTTGTGCTTGTGAGGCAGGTGTCAGAACCACCGAGTTAAATCACCGGCCCCATGAGTAACTGCTTCTTAATTGCCATCACTTCACTTCTAAATAATAAGGATGAAGTTAATGTTGGATCATGTTTTTGTACCAGTTTTATTTTTTGAAGATAAGTGCATGCGGAATATACTTTACAGAAATGTATAGATGATTGAACATAGTTTTAAAATGAGTAGGTCATGTTTCTTCAGCTATTTCAGTCCATTGCAATGTAAAAGCAACACTAAAGTAGATTTGTAAAAGGTTCTATCACTTATTAATTGAAGATAAAATAAAAATAGAAGCCATTAAAAGAAATTAACATTTTGATATTGCCTAATCCATCAATAACTATATATATGTATATATGTGTGTATATATGTATATATATATTTCTTTTTATGACAAGTGATAGACTGAAGTAATAAATTATTTTAGATCGCACATAGTTAAGGAAAATATTGTCACATTCTGTATTTGTTATTTGGAATAATTACTTTATTGTGGCACAGACAAGGCAGCTAATTTGTTTTTGATCTTTATAGAAAGAAAAAATTTCATTTGTTAATGGAGTTGCTGTTTTTATTTAAAAGGCTAATTTTTTTCATTTTCACATTATCTGAAAGTTGTCTTATGCAGGTAGAATAGGGAAAACTATGCATCCACTTCAATTATTAAAAAATTACCCTTTTTGATTGCTTGTATTGCTTTTTTAAAGTGAGGAAATGAAAACTCTCTTGAACCCTGAGTATCTGGAACACGATGCCTAGTAAGTGCAAAAACTATTACATTTTTTATATGATTATTACCTGCATGAAGATTAAGCACAGCACTTTTTATTTTTCTAATTTTTTAGTGCAATGTTCTCACAACTGATGGAAACTGCTGAACCTTGGTTTTCTACTTTTGAACATGATACTCAAAAGGTAAATCTTAGAGTACATATTTTTTTCAGTACACAGTATTTGAATGAACAAATGACTTCAGTAAGCATCAGAGAATAGTACATAATCATTTTATTGTAATATCTAGTATTTAATCATCATTATGAAAATACTAATGGAATAACAAGGAAGCTGGGGTTCTAAAATGTATCTCTTACTGGCTGAATACAAAGGCACTATAAAGATTTCATATGAGTAGAAACTTTACATAAAGTTTATGATTCATGCAATATTGTTAGTTATAAAATTATTATGTATTTTGTTACTATCCTAGTGAGTTAATATATACATTATTACTCAAGCACACTGTGTAAGATTGAAATCACTAAGTGATAACATATAGAGAATAAAATGAATACCAATGCTATATAAGAGAGTAGCTTTTGAAAAACAGAAATAATTTGTCCTAGGTATGTAATCTTCAAATTCGTGGTAGACTGAAAATAACAAAGAGCAAGGCTAATAATATTAAGAGGTAGAAACTGTGGACTGAGCATTAGAAGAAAGGAAGGGCATAATAAGGAAAGTGATCAGACTTGAGGGAGTATATGGAAACTTGAAGCTCACGTGAAAGAATTATAGAAGTTAGTGATATTTCTCTTAATATCAGATAGTGGATAGCCAGAAAGGAAGTTTTACTTTTAGCTCTATGCAGATTTTATTTTTTAAGTCAAGTATACTTTTAGTCTGGAGAGTTTAAAATCATTTTACTCAGCTATTTAAATTGACAAAACGATAATTAGAAAACATTTTCCTGGCCTTTTTAAATGTAGTTTTCATAATTCAAGTGAAACAGTTTTCATTTGCTGTTTTTCATGTTTATGTTTTATTCAACAACAAATAAATTTTCTTCAAAGTGTTCCATTAATATACCATGACCGATCAGATAAGCTAGCCATGGATAGTTTGTGTTAGCCACCCACCAGCACATTTAGCCAAAATCACCTTGTAATGTTTACTGTCAACAACAGAAAGTATTCAAGAAAGTACAAATGAATATATTTTAGCAGGCATTTCCTGGCTGTTCATTTATTAGTGCAGTCATCTATGTATCAGTATGACATTGCTCATTTTAAGCATTTGTGATGAAATCACTAAAATAGCTTTTATTGTTCTTAACTCTGTTTGATAAATAGTAATATCCATATGCAGTATTTGTTCATTTCATACTGAAATAATACATTTTTCCTGTTTATAGGGGAAAGAAACTCTGATGACTCCCATTCCCTTTGCTAGACCACAGGACTTAGGACCAACAATTGCTATTGTTACTAAAGTCAACCAGATCCAGGATCATCTACTGAAGAAGCATGATATTGAGCTCTATATGCACTTGAACAGACTAGAAATTGCTCCACAGATATATGGATTGTAAGTATTACAGTTTCAGTTATATCTATACCTAACTATGATTTATGGTTGTTTTTAATGTCTCAGATCCCTAGAAATAATAACAAGGACTATTGCATCCCCATTTTATTTCATTTCTCTCTTTAGTCGTTTATGTCAGGTTCTATCCCCATTATTTCATATATGGTATTTCATACTCCCTACCAACCATACCAATTGAGTGTCTTTGTTAAGAATAGATGAAGTTAAGGCTTAAGCTGACTTTACACATATGAAACCATGAAGTTATAATTCAAACCCAGGCAGAGTTTGCTGTGTAATTTTCTGCAGAACCCAATTTAAAAGAAAAATGCAGAGCCCCTTTTGGAAAAAAAAAGTAATAATAATTCAAGATGGCAGCAGGACATCATTTAATCAAATATTCCAAAAACTATGGGCTTGTGTAAAAGGTCTCATATACATGAACCCATTCCCCAAACTTATACAGTCCCATGAGATGCTTGTGTGCTTTTTATTTTTTTTATGTGATTATTTCTTTGCTTTACTTTCAGAGGCAAGTGTCTGTCAGTAACATAGATGTCCCTCTTAGTGAACATAATATATTAATTTTCTTCAGCTACATAACTTCTGTAACATGCTGTATAGCAACAGAACAGGGAGCTAGTCATTCCTAAAATTTCATGTGTGTGTTTGTATCTTTTTCAGTAACTTATAAGGCATATAAACAAATTTTTAAAATAGTAATAATTTTAATACTATAAATTTGCTATGTAATTCCACAGACAATGAAAGATTCCATTATTGAATAAAGAACATTTATTTATGTGGAGTGCTGAGCAGCTTCTTGGCAGATAGTTTTGCAAAATTTTATTCTCAGATAGAATATGGAAAACTAAGATATTATTGAGATGTCCAGAGTAGTTCAATAAACATGAATTCATTATTTGAATTACAAGATATCTTAAATGAATCAAAAGTTTAAGACTAGAGCTGGGTCTTTTCTTTATCTCAGAGAAAATAATCAATGAAATGTCTTATTTACATTCATTCATTATATACACAATATTTTACTAATAATAACTCTTAGCTATTTTTCTTCCCTGGAGTCCTGAACTAAGATTGAAGAAGTCTGCTTTACTGCTCTAGTGTTGCTTGTTTTTGTTTTTGTGGTTTAACCTTGATATCATTATTGAGTGCAGTTTCACTATTCCTGTTGAAATGAGAAAGTTATGTGTGATATGGGTATTGGGCAGCACTACAAGTTATTACTGAATTGCTATTTGAATGTATTAGTCTAATTAAAATATGTGTAATTGCAGATATAAAATTTAAAATGCTAATGACAAGATCACTAGTTAAATTCTCTATTTTTCTGTACTGTGCACTGAAAGAATTGATATAAAAAGCCCTTTAATACCTTCAAAATATTGTTTGCTAAAGTTAAAATTTGCCTTTAATACTAGGAAAAGAATTGATATTGAACATGTTTACCTTTTCTTTTAACTGCTTTATATATTTTTGTTATTTTGACAGAATTAGCACTTCACAGAATTAGCAATAGTAATAGAAGAGCTTGAGAACAGTAATTGATTGCCAAGTTTCTCAGTTTTTTTCATCAAACATTCATTTCTTTTCAGTTTTCTGCTTCTCATAACAATTCATAGAGCTTCTGTGACATTGCTGACTCGTACTTTCCCAGCAAAAATCCAAGATACATAACATACCTACTCTTAATTCTTTCAACTATATCAGCTGTGCTGACTATCAGTGTATGCAATAACCATGGCTGCCTCAATTAGACCTTTATTTTTGTATAGAATCTTATTACATTATCTTTAAATATATATAATTCTTTTATTTTTGAAGAAGAAATCACTCATTGTTGCAATTTGGCCTATACTACATTTTATGATGCAAGAAATTTACTCATTTCAGATGTTAATTTGGTTTTATTATTACTATTTAAAAGGAATAATCTTATTTCCTGGTATTCTGCTCTAAACTGTACAACTCATCTGTCTTTTATAAAGACATTACATTATAATGTAAATTAACAGAAGCATGAGCTTTGACATGAAACATACCTGTTAAACCCCTTTGAGCCTTTATTTTTTATCTGTGAAATAGAGATTTAAAATCATAGAGAATTAAATTAGTATATAGTAAGTATTCATTGTATATTTTGATGTGTGTTATTATCATTGTATATCACACCCCTGTAATCCCAGCACTCAAGAGGCTGAGGAAAAGGATCACCATTAGTTTGAGTCCAGCTGGGGTGGAGGGTGGGAGGGAGGGAGGAAGGGAGAGGGAGAGAGGGAGAGAATATGTATTTTTGAAATTTCCAGAGATGGGGAGATATACCATGTGTAAACATACTTGCTGTATTAGGCCAATAAATGTACTTAACAAAATTAAAATTAATGATTAGTGTAAAAATATTAATTGCACTAATATTGATTAACATAATTCCAAATTAGCTTATTTTAACTTTAAATAAATTGATGATACCTATCTTGAAATGAATAAGTACTCATGAAATCCCAAATGTTACATAATATCTGGTTTATTAATGCTGTTACTGAATATATTTAAATGCACTGTTGGGCCGGGGATTTAGCTCAGTGGTTTCGCCGCCTGCTGCGCAAGCGCAAGGACCTGAGTTTGATCCTCGGTACCAAAAAAATAAAAAATTAAAAAAAATAAATGCATTGTCTTATGGATAATTTTAATATGATTTTTTGTTAGCCAGTGTTAAATCAACTTATTTTATTTTAAACAATATTAATATGCAATTAAATGCTTAACATAACTAATATTATAAATTAATATACCCTAATAGTAATTTATACCCTGTTTTTCATTTACTTTATGAAATACTACTCCTTTTCCACTTAGAATGAAATTTCTCTTGCTTTAATTCAAATAATTAACATCTTGAGTTGTCTTTTGTTTGCCAATTATCAATTGATGTTGGACTTTTAAATTCTCTAAGGCCCTGTCAGTGGACACTAATTTACAATTAAAACATTCACTACATTATTTCTAGTTTTACAAGTTAATTTCTAAGAGTTGTTTTTGTGGCGTTTTTATTTGTATTAGAGTAAGTTCATATAATTTCATCACTTGGGGGTTGTGTGTTTGTGCAAAAACATGTTAAAATATTTGAGTTAAATTTTGTCATGGAGTGTATAGGATGTTGTGAGTGAAGGACTTAATCACAGCCAATTCATATAAAGATTCAATAATACTTCACTTAACTCTATTATATTCTTTTGTAATGCGGTTTAAGTTAATTTTTTTAGGCATGAATAGCTCTTATTATTACCTTTGAATATATTGGATCTGTAACCTTTTGACTACATTTTACACTTTGATATAAACAGTACCGTACATAATCAGCATCTGTGGGTGATATGGTTTGGGTCTGGATGTCTCCCCAAAGCCTCATTCAGTCAGACGTAGCTGAATCTAGAATGTGTGATGCTGAGATTAAGGGCATGTGATCACTAAACCACTATACATGAGAGAATGGTTTAGGACCGCCCCAATCCCTGTACTCCTCCAGATGGGATAAAAGGCAGAAAGACTCAGTGAAGGTCCCTTGTTACCTTTGCTACCTTGTGCATGCCATATTGTTTTCCTCTGCGATGCCTGTTTGCCATCCCTGCCTTGGAGCCAGCCAACTATGGACTGAAACCTCTATGAACTGTAAGCCAAATAAACCCTTCCCTTTTAACTCTGAGTGTCAGGTATTTTGTCTCAGCAATGAGAGAAAAGTAACTAGCAGTGGGATGTGCAGTTAATAATCACCTTTGAGGAAAAGCCCTCATAACACACATGGGCTTTGGCATTCTTAAATTCTGAGCTCTTTACATTACCCATGGGATAAATTCCATATTTCTCAAATTCTTATTGTACACCTTCCACATCTATTTCCTATTTTCTGGATTAGCAGTTGTTTTGTTGTGTGGTTTCTGATAATTTATTTTGGGGAGATCTTGGTTATTGATAAATTTGCTAAATTTTAAAATACAATATCAAGATATTTGTGTCACAGTAGCAATCCTAGTACATTTCCCAGTATAATTTGTGTGAGTACTAAGTTTTTTAAACCTATACTTGAAATACACACATGATTAAAAAATTAGTCTCACTCATCAGAAGTCAATATAACTAAAAGTTATACATCTCATCTGGGAGTTTTGGCTCAAAATTATAATCCCAGGGCTGGGAATTTAGCTCAGTGGTTTCGCCACCTGCCTTGCAAGCACAAGGTCCCAAGTTTGATCTCCGGTACCAAAAAAAATCTATAATCCCAGCCAGAGGGGAGCTGAGGCAGGAGGATAACACATTCAGGCCCAGACTGGACAACTTAGTGACCTTGTCTCAAAAATAAAAACAGCTGAGGATATAGCTCTAAGCAAAGGCAGTTGAAGTCAGTCCTCAGTACTTCCCCCCCAAACCCCCACATTTCATAATTTTTAACAGTTGAATAGCTTTCTAAATACAGTTAATGATTGAGATAGCCTTTTCCTTTTCAATGAGCTGTATATTATAATATTATTTGTACTTGCAACAGATTTTATACCCATTTTGGAGATTAGAAAATGAAGACTTTATAAAGGCATATTTAGGTCAAACAGCCACCAAGAAGGTGAGTCAGGTTTTGAACTCATAAGCTCACTTTCACGTCTAATTTGAGTAGGACTAACTGTGACAAGGAACTAAATTATCTGAAGGTACTATGTGTTTTACTGGACCTTAAGCCAAATTCACCTTCATCAGATAAAAGACAAATACTAAGGCAGGTGAAGGTCTTAAATCAGAGGGGTCTTTTTAGTAGTGATCATGAACTAATCTGGTTTGGAAGAGTAGAAAATTAAGAGTCCTAGAGAGTCTAAGGCCCACAGTCATGTCAAAAACTGCAATAAAAAAAGTCAGGATCTTCTACGGGATGTCCCAATAAGACAAGTACAATAAAATAATATACCATTGGGCCTGGGATTTAGCTCAGTGGT